TCCTGACTTAGATCAGCCCAGAGGTTGTTTCAGGGTTCTATCTGTGTGTTAGCCATGCCCTGACTTAGATCAGCCCAGAGGTTGTTTCAGGGTTCGATCTGTGAGTTAGCCGTGCCCTGACTTAGATCAGACCAGAGGTTGTTGGGATAGAATTTAATGTTTTCTCATTCCAGACCATGTGTCATTCCCTAAAGTACTATTTCTTTGTTTAACGATTGCGCATGCGAATCTTATTCTCAAGAGAATGACATTTGGTCTGAAATGGTTAAACATTACGTCCATGATAATTACGCTTATATGACTAAGTATCAAGTCTAATTCAACTGAAAAGCTTGGTTAGGACTCTCACTAAACTATCTGCATATATATTCAACAAATGGATTATGTATTTAACAAATCAAATATTTCAAAATATGAGAAATTGTACCTTAAATGTAAAAAAATAAAATAAAATTTTTTGTAGACTTCGAGACTTGATTGAAGTCCCCAAACAGACCTTTTCCGAAAAGGAAACTTGTTAGGAGACAGGTTCTGCTGGTTTAAGTTCATCTGCAAGCTAAGGGATAGTCGTTTTGAGAGTGAACTAGACGCATATCTGCGTGAACTCGGGCTTCATAGCAGAAAATCGAAAGGATTCTTCGTGAACATTGTCACCCTTTTAGATGGTGCAAAGTCTGTGCAAAATCACGCGTGCTAAAAATGTTGAGGGAGTTGGACTCCATGTTATTCATTACTTGAAACAGCGACAAGTCCTTCCCCATATCCGCCATTACTCAAGCATGTGTTCATGGCTGACTCTACGCATGTGCATAGACTTTGATTTGACGCATGCGCCTTAGGGCTTCGAGGGCGATTTGTGACTGAAGGAAAAAAATAACGAAGCCCAATTTATACCTCGAACATTTCTTCGAAAGCCCGAGTAATTATTTTTATGTATGTCGATGGCTTACTATACTACAATTGTCGTTGAAGTGCGACCCGCGAAGTTTGATACCTCGCTTGCCGGCAGCTAGCATTTCAACGACCGTCAATCAAAGTACTGAGATTTAAAAAAATATATCTCGAGGGAGATTCAGACTAAATCAAAGATTTTAATCCTCTAATCCTCTAAAATCAAACATCAAACTTCGCGGGTCGAACTTCAACCATAATGGTAGTAATCTAGGATCAAAAGTCTACTGAGACATCGAGTACCGAAGGTTCGTCACAGCAATGCGAAACATTTACGGCTATGCTGCGTGAGATTTAGGCCCCATCGCCGAATTATCATCAGGGCCCGGTTGTACGTAGAGTGAATAGCGCTATCCAACAAATAAATCCTTATCCAGTGGATAAGTCGATGGTTTAATTATTCGATAAATTGATCCACTGACTAAGATTTATCCGTCGGATATAGCCTCTATTCACCCTCGTACAACCCCGGGGAGGGGGGAGGTACTCCCATATATGGACTATACGGGGATGATGCGCTGAACAGGGTATGGTTTTTCGAGCTTCTTGTCATAAACAGGGTATGCAATTTCACTCAAGTTCCAAGTTCTTC